AGAGAGAGAGAGAGAGAGAGAGAGAGAGAGAGAACATGAACCATAAAAGGAAGTATAATAACAATGCACCACAAATACTCAGTTATCCAAAGACAGACTTTTATGCTTCATCACATATTTTTGCTGATGAGAATACAGAATCAAACACAATGTGCTGTATTACTTTCAACAGGTGTAAGAAAATAAATATTTTAGTTTATTTGACATCTTTTTCCCCCGAAGTTATTACATATTCTGTCCCCGTGGTTTTATGCACCCCACTTAATTTAGCAAAATATAATTTCGGATTATTTTCCTTTATCATTCTTTATTAAAATTAACAGAATCGCATAATTTCACATTCTTGGGCTCAGTTTGCATAATTTCAGAATTTTTCTTGCATAAAACGATGGGGACAGAATATTACAGGCAAACAAATTGACATTTGAACACTAGGATCTTCTTCTACTCACCAGCACCACATCATTCAAATTTAGTCAGTGGTAATTCAAGTTACAACTGTTGTCCTGATGTAAAAGTCAAGGCAACCAAAAATGGGTAACGTTTCTGTGACTAAAAATAATGACAGCTATGTGCTAAAAAGTAAGAAAATTCACATATTATTGTTCTTATTTAAGAACCATGATTCACACCCTTCATTTTATTCTTACAATATATTATAATCTTTGCATAAAGCAGAAAGGCAATCACAGGGCCTCCAACAATGAGCAGAGTGATACATGAGCCTGAATGACATGGACAACATGTTGTGTCCACTCCTTGTCTATCATCTTCTTCATCTCATTTCCATTTCATGACAAAAGACTACACTGTGTAATTCATATACATGCATGTATCTCTTTCTTGTTCTGCAATCTATTTTTTCCAGCAATAATCTTGCATCCGTGGATCCCGTTCTGGTGATCGATTCCATAAAACAGTGCTAGGTCCAAAGGCTCCTAATCCTATGTCTACTCTATGCCTTAGTCTGACCGAACATTAAAGTAAACAAAATCACAGGCCTCATTTTAACAGCCCACCAAAGCAGGAAAAAAAGTACAAGTTATTTGTGTTGTGCATGCTGCAAATGTGAAGACAGCATACATCGCAAGGTAAATAAAGGTAGGCCTAAAGAAGATTTCAATTTCAAGAATTTGTTTTTATATTCTCTTTGAGTTCTGCATGTTCAAGTTTTGAGTACAATTACCCAAAAGAACTTTTCACATACCGGTACAGTAAAAGTAAATAGTGCCAACACGAAATGACAGCTTTTTAAAAAAACAAATCCTGATGTCATTTGTTAAGTTGCAATTCCTTTAAAAAATGAGATCACACGCAAATGTGTTGCATCAAATATAAGGTCAGTAGCTATGATCAGCCGCAGAGATTTAATTTGAATTGGAACGTACAATAGAATTATAAGAATCATATATATGGTACATATTCATAGTGTGAGATTAAGAGGGTTCCACCTGCATTTCAGGTAATTTTGAGATATTGGACGTCAAAGTTTGCAATTTAATTTAAATGCAATAGCAGACAGAAATGTTTTCATGTGTATTTTTCTCGGAGCAGAATAGTTATTACGAAAAAAAATTATTCTTTATGCCATAAAGTTGTATTTAAAAAAAACTTCCTTTGACAGTTTAAAAAAAAAAGAACATGCTGCCAATCTAAAGCATGATTTTTTTTAGTAGGCATAAAAATACATTTAAAGGCATCAAAGACAATATACATACCAAAATTGACTCCTATCCTAGTGATTCAATTCATATTTACACAGACAGGTCAGCCTTCAAGGGAGCTATAAACGCAGGCTTTGGGATAAAAATTGAACATCCTAACAAAACATGTGAAGAGCTATTTGATGCAAGTGGTACTTCTTGTACAAATTACGAGGCTGAGGCCATCGCCATTGAAGCAGCAATCCTACACCAGACCAACATTTTCATAATACATCCAAACAAAATCAAGAACACTATTATCTTCACAGACGGAAAGTCAGTACTCCAAGCTTTGTAAAACATGAATTTCGAAAGCCCAGCCTGCCTATCTGTGGCTCAAACAATCAACACCTTCATACAGACCTATGCCGTCGACCTGACACTACAGTGGATACCTGGCCACAGCAACATCCAAGGAAATGACAGAACAGACACCCTTGCCAAGAAGGGAGCATCACAAACACAACCTCACAACCCAGTATCACAACAGACAGCCAAGAACATCATCAAATGCAACACCAGGGAACAGTGGCTGAATGGATGGGCAATGGGCAAAACTGGAAGAACTGTATTTGCACACATGACAGCCCCCAACTCTAAAGATGCAATAAATTCCCCGAGTAGAAGAGAACAAGTCATGATCTTTCACCTGCCAACACAACACATACCACTAAGTTCCTACCTATGTTTTAGTAAAGAGGTTTTACGGACGATAGATGTTTGATAGGAAAGAAGAAGCAAACCACACCAGAGCACCTGCCAACCATCCACATTCCTACCTTAATAGGATCCGTAAGGATACCCCACCCGACTGCTCGTTGTGCGCCTGCCAGGATGAAACAGTACTACACCACCTCTTTAACTGCCCAGCACTTTGCAACCTGCGTAGCACCTACCTATCTGCCTCCCCAGACATATAAAAAATACTCTATACAGCAACAAAGCACAGCCGATTAAATTCTTTGCCATATCGACAGACTGAAGGGCTAGAACCCAAATGGCTGCTGGATCAGAAAAGTAAAGTACATACCAAAAAAAAACCCAACTATATTTTCAAAAACACAATTACATCAAATTTCTCATCATGAGGAACCAAACACATCCTGATTATAATCACTCTGTAACTCACTTACAAATAAATGACATGCATTTCAAACATTTCAGCTGTAAATATGACTTGCAATATTCACAACTATCAGCAAACAACCCATTCCCGAAACCAAAATGTAGGAACCGGAAGCAAAACTAAATGAAAAGCGAAGAAGGATTGGGTCTGAGGAAACCTGCCGGGGACAATTTGAAATCTGACATTGTTGCATATTTGACAAGCTCCATCATTCTTAAGCATTTAGCACTTTACTAAGGGGCATTTGGATTTTGCTGTATAAAGTTTTGGTTCTTCAAAGGAAATGTTGAAATGTCAGTCCAAAAGATAAGTTTTCTGTATTTCATAAAACTTCATCTGTTAAAGACAGATATTCGTAGGTCTAATTTTCACAATATCTTAAAATCCTGTGCCCTTTCCAAAGGGTCTTCTTGGAGCTCCTCACATAGTTTTGGAAGTCAAAAACAAAATGACAAGACATTTCAGGTTCTGAGACATGAAAATGGCACAATAAGTTTTCTATGCTCATCATTCATACCGGCAAGCTAGCATTATAATGAAGCCTAGAAAGTCTTGCTGCAGGCAAATGTACGATCTGTCTGCCTCCATGCAAGACCATGCGCTCCCACTCAGACACTCTTCATGTTCAGATTTTGTAGATAAAAGAAAATTACACAGGCATCCGAGGGGCAATGAGAATGCAGTCTCCTGCACTACTTTTTGCAAAAATAAAAAGGGTACCTACATAATGTGCACAAAAAATGTTTTCATTTTGGGGAGAACCTTTCATTTCAATGATTGAGCAACTACAGTCTAACACTCACATAGCGAACATGCACAAATAGCGAATAGATTTTCGGGTCCTGATTTTTTCTTTAAATTATATTCTTTACATTCAAAACACGCACAAGACGTAATCAATTCAAATGTAGCAAAAACATTTCTGTCAGTGAGGGTAGATCTAATTAAACTACTGCAAATTCCGTTTACCGAAGTAGCCATGAGAGAGTGGGCATAGTATGAACATAGGCTTACCATCCCTCTCAGTCTAAGCCGAGGGCAATAGTGTAGATCAAGGACTTGTTCATTACAAATGTCACAGAAATGTTCAGCATTAGATTTAGTTTGCACACTTTTCTTGATATAGGTAGTCTGCGGTTGCGTGGCCACATATCAGGTATTGTCATTATGTGCGCCAACGCATTTCCTCTTCAGAAGAGATTACACACAATGTGACAGCTTGCCAGCATTCTGCAAAGTTACGTCTAGGTGAAGTCGTAGAAAAGAGTGGACCATGGCAGAAAAAAAAAAGCTGAAAGGTTTCTCAGACCAGATAAAACGGCTGATCCTGACAAAGATGGATACAAAAATCAATGTCAAAAACCCAAATTTGTAAAAATTAAGACGGCTATATACCAAACCAACAGGCTTCTTGGTATGACATAGGTGGCATAATTCAAGTAAAATTTTGAACCAATTGTCCAACTTTTGTCTCTAAATTATCAATAACGGCCACCCAATGTTGAAAGAAAAAGTGGCCATCTTCCAGACGTAAGGGGGAAATGGGAAGTGGCGGTTTGTACGTGTGATTGTCTTGTAGAGGTGGCAATTAGAGCAGGTTCAAATGTATTTTATATAGCTGGAAATTCTTGTACAACGAATAAATTTCCACAACCCACCAACCAATTTCGCTATGTGATTGCTGGACTGTATCTGTAAAATTCTCTCAAGTAGATTTTTTTCTCTCCAAATTTTAGTTTTTCAAAACCTGAGAAATAACCTGAGGAACTGAAGGTAATATATAGTGATTATGGTATCCATTATGAAAAAAAAAAAAAAAAGGAAGGGTTCAATGAATGGTCATTGAGTCAAAAACATATTTCATTTCTACTGATTTCTCTGATTAAATCATAAATTATAACATATATATATTATTATATCATTACATATATATATATGTGTGTGACGACATAAACATGTCCTTCAAGCCAATATTCAAAAAGAAATTTTTAGAGTGTTTGTGTTTTTTACACATCCGTCCACACAATTTAGAAGCCATTATAAAACCCAACTCTGATAAATGCCACATTTCAAGTTTACGGATACAAAATAAACTAAAACAACAACCAAAATAAAATTCACTATGACTGAGAAATCATCAAATCAAATCACACAACTGTAAGTCCAGAGGTAAATATCTTATGGCTTGAAATTGGACAATTTGAATCAATATTATGACTGTTGCTTTTATTGTAAACTCATCATTGTGCTAATTCATCTGTCTTTCTCTAGTCATCTGCTGTCCCTTGACTTGAACCTGCGGGGCCAGAAGCTGTTGCCGGGCAATCTTCACTCCATGCACACTCTTTGTTCTGCTTCCAGGATGAAGAGTCATCAGCATAAATTTCCTAAAACAACAATGCTTGAATTATTGCAATAGTTTGGGGTGTTGCTGATGGGCTACAGTTTACAGTGTGTCAGCATGAACAAAGCCATATTTCATTAGGAACAGATTATGACAACAGTAACATTGAAAAGAAGTAAACGGACCCCGCAATTCACTTTAAATCTATGGTATCTGATAAAATAACCCTGAAAACAATGCCATGAACCTCATTCAATTAACAAAAAAAATCCCACTTTCGAAGAAAGACTTGACTGACATGTCTGATCTCTTTTTTTTTAATCCCAAAAAGTCTTCTGAAAACATTTAGTCTTACTTGAAAATACAACTTTTCATGACTACAAATCTGTATACACATATATCAGGGTGTCCAGCAATATTTCCAGAAAAAATTTACTACCTGGAACAAAAATTTACTACCCAGCAAATCAAGCCCCACACCTGCTCAAAAAGGGGAGATCATTTGCACCATCAATAACATAATATTACACAGTATATGAAATGATTATAACACACAACAAAGTCCAGTCAGCAAAATGGAGGATAGAGACACGATCGCACGCTCCCTTGCCACTAGATTTAGTTTGAGTTTTATTAAGATATTTAAGCTCTTATGAGCACCAAGGGGTGGATGTCAACAGAGAAGTCCAGACGGGGAATCAAGCTTACTCTGCTCACCTCTCTAGCCTCAACAGCACAAAGTCTGCTTCAGGGGCTAGCGTGGCCTAGAGGTTAAGGTGTTGGCCTCGCATTCAAAGGTCAGGGGTTTGATTCCAGGAAGCGACCAAAACAATTTCTTCTCTAAACCTGTCTCCTTTCACCTCCTTTCCTGTTCTCTAGCAATGTTCTGTCATCTGCTTTCGTCTCCACTTTCTGCCCCCACCCTCCTTTGCCCCCTTCTCTGGGCTCCTGACTCTTTCTGTGGCCTTTCTACTGCTACTCCTTGGCTCCTTACTGCTGTCTTTCAGCCACACCCCTGATCTTCTTGTAGGAAAGATCTACACCTAGCCTTCTCGGAAAAGGGCGAAAAATCTCAGAGGTCCCATGTGCAAGTTGCGCACGTTTAAGATCCCTAGGTGGTCTAAAATCCATAACTGTAGGCTCCGGCCGCCACCTGGCAAAATTCAAACTTTTCTACCAGTCTTGAACAGAAAGCTACAATATAGTTAAAATTTACTGTCACTCACCAAATGAAACGCCAACACTTTACTTCAGTAACACGGCTTACAAGGTATGAAGAGTAACACAGCTTACAAGGTATGAAGAGTAACACAGCTTACAAGGTATGAAGGATCTCGATTCCACACACGGCCTGCACCAACGCGCGCTTTGTAGAAAGCTCTAAATCTAATCAAAATTCTGAAATTTGCTTCCAAGTTTTTGTGCTCTGGTGTTGCCTTCAGCAACCCCCCCCCGTGTATCTTTTAAAAAAATCAATAATCCTCTGCCCCATTCCGTAGTCCTATACTTTGCAATGATCAGAGTTTGAATGAACTTTAGCGACCCCAACAAACGCCGGTGCTCACACGATGCCATAGCATATCTTGTGGAGCAAACGTGTGCAGGTTAACTGACCTGTCATGATGGCAAGCCCGACAATCTAAAAATCGGAGGACGCTTGTATATTTCTTTTCTTTTTTTTCCCCCACAAGTGACAGCACAGTGACGAGTCCAAGGACTGATTAAATTTTATTTGCGAAGCAACACAGCGTTTATACTGCACAACCCGCATGTCACAAAGTAATGTTGCATTAACAGTCTATCGCCCGCAAATTTCAGGGTGGTAACGAAAGCGAAAGTAGATCTTGATTTTCCCGATCAAGCCTCGGTATCACATTCACTTCCGCCTGCCGCCATAGCCATCTGTTTGCCTGAAACGTACTCTCAGACGGGGAAAAGGTGAAAGAATATTACAATAGCAACCAGCAAAAATGAACTTAATGACCTCATCGGATTCAGTTTTCAAATATTCGAGTTCCGCGATACTGATACTACTCAAAGATCGTTGTACTACTTTGACAAAAGATGGAACTTGGTAATTGCTGAGTACCGTGGCTATGACTCCATTCACTGAAAAGTCTTGCAGGCTTCATCACTCTGTACGCAGGTGAATTTACTACCGTTTACCAAATGTTTACTACCTTCATTGCACATTTACTACCATTTACGACCTTCACGGCCAGGGCGCCGAATTTACGACTTTTTTTGACTTTACGACCTCCCTGGACACCCTGATATATACACAAAGAAACAGTGCTGCCGTTATGAAAATCTTCCCTTTACCTTCTTCCAAACAGGCACAACAGCTTTCACAGTGTTGATGGCATACTGAACAGCATCTAGAGACTCCTTTCGGTGTGCTGAGGAAATGGCAATGATGATACTCGCTTCTTTGACAGGAACCACCCTAAAAACAGAAATTAAATTCAGTATGGTATTCAGACAGTTTGATAATATGCCATACTTAGTGTTACACTCCGTCATATGCTTTTTTGAAAACTGACGTGTGATGGAGTCTTACACTGAGCAGATGCTCTGTCTTAAAGGATGATAACTATCAAACTAAGGCAGGATTCAAACAATACAGCGCTGACTTGCGTCAAGCTACAAAATGTGTGCTTTAATGAAAGCCAAATTGTCCAAATTTCCAGTTTCTGCTCTCAAAATGATAAGAGAAGACACAAAGGTAGCCTTCAGTACTTTCATGACAATGATAATCTTTATTCACTTCGCAAGGAGAAATTATGAGACATGCTGACAAAGTGAGTTACTTCTCACAATCCAAGAATGGAGATATTGGCCGAAAATCGACACTGGGGTCAGAATGATAGATTTCTTTTTTATGCCATTTCGTTCAAGTCTACTGTGTCTTTCGATATTCCATATTTACAAATTGTTAAAATCCGAGACGTAATTCATTTTGTCAGCCCATTTCACAATTTGTCTTAGTCATTTCCACTTGCGTAAAAACACAATAAGACAACACATGAAAATATGTATTACATGCTCGCACAACTCCTGTGAGCATTCTCTCTCCCTCTCTTTTATTTGTAGCACTGTATGTACAGTAACCTCACTGCAATTGGTAAAAATGAATTTCTATATATCTGCCTTGCTTTCTTGGAGTCATTTACTGGGGTCGACAACTGACATTCCCATGTTAATGGGTGGCTATAAATACTTAGCATTGTTTCCGCCTATTTTGGAATGTTTGTCTTGCACAAACATTTACGGTTATTTAAGTATCTATCAATAATTCTTAGATGCTTTTCTGATCAACTTAAAAGTCACCAAGAACTAATGTTAGATACCTAAGTTATAGTATTTATTGTGCATGCTGACTCATGACTTGTATTGAAGACCTGCAAAATAACCCTGGCAAATGTTTTATTGATAAAATAAAAAGTCGACCCACTTCTTCCAGGTTTAAAACAGAGAATAACACCATCGATATCTAACCTTGTACTAAAGCTACAAATTTGTTATTTCTATAAGAGCTCACCCTATGCGGTGTATCATGGCTATTTTGTGGACCTGCCACTGCTGCCTGATGGACGCACATACTTCAAGCATCTTCTTCTTGGCCATGGGCTCGTAGGCCTCATACTCCAGTCTCAGCACCTCCTTGTTGTCAAAGTTGTTGCGAGTGGTTCCTGAACAGCCAACATTTGGAATAACTTAGGTATTGGTATTCATAACAATAGTTACAAAACTTTTCTATAACTATCAATTGACATACGGATCAATGTTCTTTTTATATAAGGAGCTAAAACACGACAACATTCAAAATAGGGATGCAATGAACTTGATAACAGATCACATACCGTACATATTCTAAATAAACCCATTGATATACGCTCAGTCCTTGACCTTTTCTCACTCCTGTAGTGGGAAGTCTGGCCGAGTGCCTTAGTTCAATCTCACACCCCTTGAGGGATCAACACTAAAACCATAAAAAGGGCTACTGCTTTGTCACGTAAGTTGCAGGAAATGTTACAGCAAATATCATTTGCTTTTAGCTGATCGAAATTTAGTTTTAGGTCTTGTATACAATAAGTTCTTTTGAGTAACAGATGGTATTTGTAAGGTCATTTCAGCTGAGCCATAATATTTCCCTTCCGTCACTGTCATCAAGAAATCAAACTACCTCATATTATGTCAGGACAAGGGTGCTCTACCTTTAACCCTTTTCCAAAGTAGAAAGCTTAAGTGATAAAGACCCAGAACCATCAAATAGTAGCCTCTGTACAATAAAACGAAACATTTTTAAAAGTCAAGTCCCCATTTTCAACAAGATTAAGCACATCAAGTCAAACCATGATTGAAAAAATAAGTAATCCCTCTCCTACAGAAAGCAGTTTGGGAGACACTGTTGAAAAAACTTACATCTCATCCCCTTTTTCATGAAAATGTTTCTCTCATACACAACAGTGGCACCTAAAATATCAAGTGAGTAAAAAACTTTAACTCAAACATGCTTACTTTATTTCCCTGGTTAGAAGCCAAGGATTTCTTAGCTTTTCTTTAACAGTGAGATGGAAGGACTAGAAAAAACGTTTTGCTTTGTGAACTGATCAAAAAATGTTTACCTATAAATAATGAGACTGCCCCACACGTGTCATCAGAAACAAGTTCAGTGATAGTATCCACACTCAACTTCTTCTCTGTAACATCAACTATGTCCATTTTATCACACTGCAGAAACAAAATACATTTTTGTGATTTTCAGATATGACACACCATGTACACGGTGAAGTGCATAAATCAGCTCTGATGAAACAAAAGAACAGCTCATTCAATATTTGAACTATTTAACTTCCTTTACATAAGCTGAGGTAAGAAAATGACATGATGTGAGCTACTAGAAAATATCAATAATACATCTTTAAAGTGTTTGAAAATAAATTACAACCAAATAAAACTACTTAGCAATTGTGTTTCTATAGCAAAAGACTAAAATCAGTAAAAGAAAATTTGAGGTCGACTTCCAACTTTGACTCACTATGATGTAAACCTTAAATAATGAATATCCTCATTTTAAATCATACTGTCTACCTTGAAACTTACATATAACGAAAGTCAGCTAGACCTCCAGCACACTAGCCTCCACTAATAGGGGGTATAATTGCAATTTCGTCTCGGCTCTGGAGCACAACCTCGTCGTCTCCTTCCAAGTAGTCCTCGTTGAGGGTCAAGATGATGTTATTCTTGAGAACACTAAGCCTGATAAACGAGACAATAGACCATTCCCAAGGTGCACACAATCAGTCATGAAAAAACAAACTCATTCACCAAAGCCTCCTATTCATTGTAAGAAACTAAATAATTAAGTATAACGTATGACACCCCCCCCCCCCCCCCAACGGATCAATTGTCAAAATGTGCAGTTAAGCTACCTCTGCGACTTACTTTCTCCAGTTGCTTTAGCATGCATATTCCCTATTCCTCTTTTCCTCCACTATAGCTGACAATCACTTTATCCACAGGAGAGGAAATTCTCACTTATATATTAGAGAGTTTACCTCCCACCTACATTCCCCATTATATAGCTGTATGCATGTTTTGTTAAAACACAGATTCTTTTAACATTCCCTACAACTCACCCGTTTTCTTCACAAATGTAAATCGTGTCCATATATTTATTCCCTCCCCCCCCCCCAAATCTTTCTAATATTCTTTCAAACAGACAAAATCCTTCTTCCCATCTCACTCCACTTTCTTAACTTTGTAACTTCTTTAAAACCTCTTCTCTTATATCTCTCCTTCCTATTTCAAAGTATTAACTCATTCGCTACGTATTATTTTTGCTTGTGGACGAATTTTTTTTCGGGAGGGCGAATGAGATGATGACTAGTGGGCAGTTAAAAGGTCTTTGGGGCCACAAATTCAAATAAATATCAACGTATTATATACCAATATTTTCAGTATGGTTTGTAGAATACATCTGTAATGTTTATTTAGGTATTTTTCAACTTTGGTTCCTGTAAGAGACGATTATGCAACACAATTTTGATTGGATGCGGATAAAATTTAAAAATAAAAATTTAATAATCTTTGGTGAAACTAAAAAAATATGTTTGCACCTAGTTAAATGATACATCAAAATAACCATAAATGAATATAGAACTGGAAAATATAGAAAAGTTTGTAGTTATTTACCTACATTCCATAATATTTGTACATTTTGAACATAACATCCGATATTGAAAAAAAAAAAAAAATTTATAATCTTGAAAAAACTATCACAAACAGAAAAAAACCCACTCGTATCTTATATGGAATTATTCAGAATTGCATTTGGAATAAACCTATACATGTCTTGAGTGGCACTTTTTGTCTAACTTCATCAAAAAGTAGTGATTTTGGGGAGAAAAAAATATTTTGACAATTTAGATCTAGACCTAGATCTAGATTAAATCTAGCACTCAAAAATATTGACTTCTCAATAACAGTGCAATGGCAATATGAGTCCAATCGTATCAATATTATAAAAAAGAGTCCCACATTTCTTTAGTTGTCAAAATAATGATAGATTTTGTTGTGTAAAATTACTAAGACTGGTGTCTGTGCTATAATTTTGGTATCGCGATAAAACACATTCGAATAAACTACGAAATCACGTTTCAAAACTGAATCTAAATTTCCGATTTTCAGTGGAAATGCTTGACCCGAAAGTCTACATTATATTATGACCTTTATTTTAACATGGATATGTGGATTGGAATAGAATCTAAGCAAAAATTGAAGATCGGTTCTCGAGCCACCGGGGGCGGCTTAACGTACTGACTGACGGCCCTTTAGCCGCGCCGCCCCCCACGGCTCGGCGTAGCGAATGAGTTAAACCTCATCTGTAATTTCATATCTCCCCTTTCCCACCTCTTCTTTCAATCTTTCAAATCTTTCCCATTTTCTTTCTCCTCCTTGTCTCTCCTTGGTTAAAATAAAATTTACAAAGACTAGCCCTCCCCACCCCACACCCTCCTTTATCTTGAAAATTCTTACAGCCCAAATTAAACTCACAAACACCACCAAAAAAAAAAGACAGAAAAAAGAAATGAAAACATAGCTCCACTTGGAAGACTTGGCACTTGACACTTACCCTGGATAAGTAGAAAGGATGTGCTTGAGGATACCTTGAGCTGAGGTTTTGGACGGAAGCTCAAGCTTGGCTTGCTTGATACCAGTGATCTCTCTACTTTTAGCAAAGAACAAGACATCGATCTGGCAAAGAAACACATAATAAATTAATGAAATGAATAAAAGAGTAGCTGATGCTAATGGCACTTCATTATCCAGTACACCCCTAGACTGACAAACAGCAAAAACTAGGCCTACTAAATAGTAAATAGATTTTTAGTTTGAAATATCTAAATACTCGTATTTATTGAGACGAAACCAAAAGGTACCGTACTGACAGTGCATGTATTTTAAACCTGAATAATTACTAATGAGACCTGTTGTACTCAAAAGGTTTCTAATAGGGCCTAAAATAAGTACGGCTAGACTGGCAGGCTAGTGTATTTAAGTACGGCTAGATGGCTAGGCTAACTATACTTTAAGGAGGCTAGACTGGCAGGCTAGCCATACTTAAATAGGCTAATGATGGCTGAATTGTAAATAAAATTTTAGTTTCCAATGCCTAAAGTATTTGTATTTCAGACGAAACTAAAAGGTGCCTAACTGACATGTATGTATTTTAAACCTGAATAATTACTAGATCTAATGAGACCTGTGTACTCAACAGGTTTCCGTCAATAGCGTACAGCTAGTCACTTCGTTCGGCTTTTGATCAACATTTTTCAATGAAATCCACTCACAAATTTTGTGCGTTTATCAAAGGATATAAAATATGGTGTGTGAACAGTAATGACCAAGCCTTTGTTTCCACTATTTAGAAGCTGAAGGCAAGCTTTTGGGGTTATAATGACTAATGAGACATATTATAATTGACCAGGTCGGTTTTGGGGACTAGAAATAGGTGAAAAAAACTGTGCATTTAAGAGTTAAGTCAGACAATTCACACCCCGCTGAATTTTCACTGCAAACAACACTTTCTTAGAACATTAATTAATCATTAGGGCCTACAATTTAATTTTTATGATTGTTTTAATTTTAGTTTAGCCTTTTGGGGTTGTTGTCGGTCGGTGACGGTCGCAACGGTCGGCAACGGTACAGACGGCGAGAGTTGGCAACGGTCGGCGGCAGTCGGCAACAGTCTGCATTAAGTACTAGTATTGTATGTCAACTAGCTGTACGTGTGACCCAAAAACTTAATTCATGGCATTTTAGGTCAGCCAACTGCTCATCCAAAAACTAGAAGATGGAGGGAGACATTGATTTTTTGATGACTCGAAAGTTTAGTTTCTTACAAAATCTCTCTGAGTTTTCCATTCAGCGGACCTGCAGAACTTGGTTTGCCAAATTTGAACCTTGTTTCCAAGTTGGCCCTCTTTTATTTTTTTCTGAGTCATATAAGAGCCAAAGATTAGACCTAGTGTTACTAGAGAGTAATTAAATTAGTAAGAAATGGGGGGGGGGGGGGAGTGTAGTATATTATTAGAGATTTACGGCACTTGCAGTATATTATTAGGTCATGACGTAAGTGCCGAAGATTGTCAGAGTTACAAATCTGCCACTGACAATTAAAGATGAGAGAGAGAGCGAGAGAGAGAGAGAGAGAGAGGGATAGAGAGAGAGAGAAAGAGAGAGAGAGAGAGAGAGAGAGAGAGGGAGAGAGAGAGAGAGAGAGAGAGAGAGAAATAATAAAAACTTAGTGGCAAATGTCATATAAGTCTTTTGGTCACACGTACAGCCAGTTGACATACAATACTTAATGGAGACTGTCGCAGACCGTTGGGACCGCCCCTTTCAACCGACCCGTTGTCATTGCTTTTTTCTTTTTAGATATTAGAAGTAGACTAGACCCACTCTACACTAGACTATAGATCTAGTGTCTACTACTGTCTAGATTCTAGTCAGTTTAGTGATGGACTGATCTGATAGACAATTGAAATCATTGAAATCAATAAAACTAAAACAGATCTCTATATTAATATAATAATAAACTGAATTCATATAGCGCATTTCCAAAAAATAAGTGCTCAATGAGCTGTACAATATTGCAAAGAACATATGAAGCGCACTGCTCCTATAGTAATCCTCTTTCTCTCTCTTTCTCTTACTAGTCTCTCTCTCTTTCTCTTACTAGTCTCTCTCTCTCTCTCTCTCTCTCTCTCTCTCTCTCTCTCTCTCTCGCTCTCTCTCTCTCTCTCTCCATTACATCCTTGAGTAAAGACAATCCCACTATCATACAATGCTTACCCATACACCCTCGCACACGTTGATGAATTCACACAGTCATAAATTCTTACAGAACAGAACAGCATGAATAAACGATACTGAGAGAACATAATAGATACAGAGAGAACATAATAATATTTGTATTGGGAATATCGGAAATTGCAGATTGAAGCTGGACTGAAACAAATGCATTATAAGTGTTGATTAAAATTTTTGATAAAGTGGTGGACTCCCGAAGATGAGCTTGTAAAGCGTTCCACAGGGAGGGGGCGTGGTGTGAAAAAGCTCTCTCTCCGAGTCTCTGACTTTTGCTTTGGACAGGTCTTAAAAGTCTTTTCGGCGCTGATCTTAAAGGCCGAGAAGGTATGTATTCGATGACCATGTCACAAAGATATGATGGTGCAGATACACAGTCGAACCTGTGTAAGACGGCCACCCATTGTCAAGGAGAAAAGTGGCTGTCTTAGGCAGGACTGATAAAGATAAAAAGAAAACAAACCATTCCTTTCTATGGTCCCAACCGAAAGTAGCCGCATTGTTATTGTTGTTGGTTTGTATTTTGTTTGTTATTTTTATTTTTCTGCCGCTTTTGTGCAAAAGTGACAATATACTGAAATACTCAGACAAGGAAGACCGAGTACCATGTTAAAACAAACACACGGGTCGCCACCACTCAGAGAACGAGCGACACTCATGTCGCAAGTTCATGCAGACGACCATTTTTACTTTGTTACAGACTGGGTAAACAGTGACCATGGCATTCATCTCACTTACGATTTGTCTGAGTTCTCAGTTCTGGGCAGGGTTTTTATATGGGTCATGAGAGATCACATGCTTACCTTACCATCATTAGGTAAAAA